GCGATTTTCCATGAGACTCTTCGGAGAAAATTCATGTCTCGGCCATTTTTCGGTATGAAGGTCTAGAAACTTGGATTCCTCGGTTATTTTATACGTTCTACACGATGAGATCGCTTAACACAAAATCCATGTTTTCATCGGGTGATGCACCTATCAGTACGGACTGTATCTTAATGGCTAAGGGCATAGAGGCTCCACTGGATGGATAGTCCTTGCATCCATTGAAACTGCTAATGCACTCTGTAGTTTATTACATTTCCCCCTGCTCAAATTTATTGGACTATGGTTGAAGTGCATCCACTATAGTGACACTGATGCAATAAAAAATAATTCTGTTCGAATGTAATTCATTGGATGAATATCTGAAATTAGAGAGAAAATTAAATATGATTTCCCTTTCCATTTTCATTTTTTTCGAGCCTACTATCGTTACCGAGATATTCACTATTTGTATTTTGGCGCACGCGTATATCACCATAACCTGACGACACCTAAACAGCAAATTTGGAAATATCTCGATAACGATAGTAGCCTCGAAAAAAATGAAAATGAAAAGGGACATCATATTTAATTTTCTCTCTAATTTTAAATATTCATCCAATGAATTTCATCCGAGCAGAATTATTTTTCATTGCACCAGTGTCACAATAGTGGATGCACTTCGACCGCAGTCCACATACCAAAACACTGTAGACGACACGAATGAGTGATGTAAAAAAATAATTGATGTTAAAGAAACAATGTGTTGAAGCAAGTCCATATTCTATGAAATGTTTATTTAGGCAGTTGTGCATATTAAGATTGTTGGAGTCTTGTTTTATGTCTTCATTTAAACAGACTTTACTTGCTTGCTGCTAATAGTTTATTGAAGAGAATTAGTTTTTTGTTTTACTATATTTTGAGTTTTATTTTTTTATTTTACGTTGTTTTACAAATATTTGACTAAGAATATGAGTATTTTTTGTAATATCTGTACATTATAAATTAAAAAGGGCAGATTTGACTTTTTGCTTTTGCGTGCTGTAAACATTTTTGTGCTAAAATAAATTCAGATATAAACTTATTTTTTCGCTTAGAAGAGATTTCACTTACGGATTTATTATAGAAATAGAAAAAAAATGTTTTTTCGCTTATTTTATAAAATATAAACATTTCTAGGTTTCCTCCATAAAACTCTGGTCCCAAATTTCCTCAAGCCAGAGTCGCTCTCACCTTAAAATCTGCTGTGGTCTAATCTGATGTTTAATAATCTCTTCTGCAGTTTTACTACTCGATGTGTGCGCTATATTTTTATCACTTGCGAATTTTAACACCTAAGAAGCGCAGCATATGTCCAAGTTTTTGTAAACGTTCTTATTGTTTGTGAGGAAACTTCTTTTGTGTTGCGCTTAGTATAATGGTTGTTTTATTTCAATTATTAAACGTTATTTTAGATTTATTACATTCACTTTTTCTAGTCATGACAACAAACGAGAGAAGAAAGAGAAGAAATAGTTCTGGTATTGTAAAATAAATGTTGCATAATTGCTTGAAAAAGATGATTCAGTGTATTTGCATATTTTTTTCTATTTAGATTCAATTGCCAGTAGAAGTAGTGCTATAAGTACGATTAGTGGTCGTTATAAAAGTAAAAAAACAACGAGGGAAAGTAATGTACAAATTTGTGGCCTTTTTCTGTTTATATCACCTTCGAAAATTTCTGAATCAGCCTCTATTTGCTTTATTTATTGTTTTAGTTGTATCAATCAAAGATCATGTTGTGGTGACATGGATAGACACCAATGAACTGGAAACTGTATCATTAAAACATCTTAGAGACTCTACTGGCAAAATGAAACAATATGAAACATATACATTTAGTTTTGGTCGTAAACGTAAACAAGGAAAAATTATGTTACATGGTATGTAAAATAAACAGTTACTTTGTTTGCCTCCTGTTGAAAAGTCTTCATGATTTAAACCCCCCCCCCCAAAATAGACGGCCACCCTATATTAGAAGGCCACCCCCTGTATAAGGCCATGTCCGAGCAAAAGTTCAAAGGCCCTATTAGAAGGCCATGCACTAATTAATTAATAT